ACAATGTAACAAAAGTTGTTTTTTCTGCATACGTAACAGGTACTAATATTTGTTATTTAAAATGTGAAATATTCATGATTCAAAAAGAACATATAAATAGATAAATATAAATATATACCAGAAAAAGTCTCATTCCCATCATTTTCCCCTGTCCAGTACCTAACATGATTATTAGTCTCTTATCCTTCTAGAGTTTCTTTATGCAAATTAAAATATATTGTTATTCCACTAAGCTATCCTAGGTGAGGATACCTGGGCTGAGCTGGCAGCGACTAGTGAGTGCTAGGCCAGAGGATCTGGTCTGGCTGTCTCTCACTGGCTTTCTCAAAATGGTCCTTGTTCTGAGAGTGCCCACATTTGTACATGTAACCTTGAAACATGAATTCCTGATTTCAGGATCCATTATGACTGGGGCTCTAATGTCTTTACCTGACCTGTGTGCAGGGGAAGGCTCAGACCCTCCACAGGAAGAGAAGGCCCAATCCACTGCTTCCTGAGAGTGAGCTGGGCACAACAGGTTTTACTGTAACTGCCAAGTAGAGCAAAACCTAACTAAAGAATATCAAAGCCCAGACTGAGAACATTCCTCCCTTTCCAGTTTTCCTCCAATTTCTTTCTTTCTTTTTTTTTTTTAAGACAGTCTCTCTCTGTCAACAGGCTGGAGTGCAGTGGCACAATCTTGGCTCACTGCAACCTCCGCCTCTTGGGTTCAAGTGATTCTTCTGCCTTAGCCTCCCAAGTAGCTGGGACTACAGGCACACACCACCAAGCCTGGCTAATTTTTGTATTTTGAGTAGAGTCAGGGTTTCACCATGTTGGATAGAATGGTCTTGATCTCTTGACATCTGCCTGCCTTGGCCTCCCAAAGTACTGGGAGGTCCCTCTAACTTCTTATTATGGAGAAAGTCTTTGTTATGATGGATTTTTAAAATAGACTTTTTAAGAGCAGTTTTAGGTCTACAGAAAATTGAGCAGAGAGTTCCATATACTCTCCTTCTCTCCTCTGCCCCTGATTTCTGACACAGAGCTCCTAAAACCCTTCTCTCAGGAACCTCAACTACTAATGAGTGTATGTGTAATACACCCCTGGTTCCCGACACAGAGCTCCTAAAACCCTTGTAAATAAAAGTGCTAGGAGACTCTTCTTCCCATATTTGGTCTTTTTCGTTTTGTTCCCAAAATTTGGTCAGTGACCCTGGGGTTGACACAGAGCTACTGAAACCTTTGCAATTTCCTGAGTGCTAAGATCTGAGGCTGGGCGAGATGGCTGATGCCTGTAATCCCAGCACTTTGGGAGACCAAGGCAGGCGGATCACGTCAGGTCAGGAGTTCAGGACCAGCCTGACCAACATGGTGAAACCCCATCTCTACCAAAAATATATAATTAGCTGGGTGGGGTGGTACATATCTGTGATCCCAGGTACTCGGGAGGCTGAGGCAGGAGAATCGCTTGAACCCAGGAGGTGGAGGTTGCAGTCAGCCGAGGTTGTACCATTGCATTCTAGTCTGGGGGACAGGATGAGACTCTATCTCAAAAAAAAAAAAAAAATATATATATATATATATATATATGTATGTGTGTGTGTGTGTGTATGTATTCATGTGTGTATACGTGTGTGTGTGTGTGTGTGTGTGTGTGTGTGTGTGTGAGAAAAAACAGCATCTGACACAGAACTCCTAAATCCCTTGGAATTTCCCAGGTAATAAGAGCATCTTTTTTTCTAATCAGGCAATTCTTGGCGAAATCCTAGATGGGGGCTGGTTACGACAAAGACCAAGCCATTATTAGAATCTAAGAACTTTCAGTCCTACCTCCAACCTCCCGAGCGGGGAAAGAAGCTAGAGATTGAATTTATAACCTATCATGCCTACATGATGAACCCTCCATAAAAATCCCTAAAAGATGGGGTTCACAGAGTTTCTGGGAAGGTACCATGTGCCAGGAGGGTGGCAAACCCCAACCCCATGGGGATAGAAGTTCCTGTGCTCAGGACTCTTTCAGACCTTCCCTCTTCATGGCTATTCACCTTTATTCTTTGTAATTTCCTTTATAATAAACCAGTAAACATATTTCCCTGAGTTCGGTGAATGATTCTAGATTACTGAATTCAAGGAGGGGGTTATGGGAACATCCAATTGGTGACAACCTGAACTTGCAACTAGCATCTGAGGTGGGGGCAGTCTTGTGAGATTAAACTCTTTGTGATGTCTGGGCTAACTCCAGGTAGACAGTGTTGAATGTGATTTGAATTAAAGGATACCTAACAGGTACGGGAGAATTTGTTGATGTGAGAAAACCCCACACACACCTGGTGTCAAAAATGAAGTTCTGAAAGTACTGAGAATCCTGAGTACAGAAGCTAACAGTTTGTTTTTCCCTATACGCTGGGTCCTTGCTTTTCCAAATGAACTTTAGAATTACTGTTAATGTCCATAAAATAATTTGTTGAAATTTTGATTGGGACTGTATTGAATCTATAGACCAACTTGTGAAGAAATGACACCTAAACAATATTGCCTGTTCCTTTCTATAAACATGGAATATCTTTCAATTTATTTAGATCTTTAATTTCTTTGATCAGAGTTTTAACATTTTCCTCATAAAGATCTTATATATACTTTATTAGATTTACCTGTGTCTCTTTTTGTCTGGTGTCACTATAAATGGTATTGTATTTTTAGTTTCAAATTTTAATTGTTCTTTGTAGATATATAGGAAAGCAACTGAGTTTTGTAAATTAACCTCATATCCTGCAATCTTGCTACCATTACTTATTAATTCCAGGTTTTTGTTTCTGATTTTGGGGATATTCTATATAGAAAAAGAATTAACAATATTCTACACAGTCATGTCATCTGTGAACAAAGACAGCTTTATATTTTTATTCTTAATCTGTACATCTTTTATTTCCTACTCACATCTTATTGCATCATCTAGAACTTCCAGTATGATGCTGAACAGAGTGTTAAGTGGGGACATCCTTGCTCTGTTCCTTGTCTTAGGGGGAAAGCATCTAGTTTTTCATCATTAAAGATGATGTTACATGTAGATTTTTTTAATAGAAGTTCTTTATCAAATTGAGGACATTTCCCCTCTATTCCTAGTTTGTTCCAAGTTTTTATGATGGATACAGTTTGGATTTTGTCAAATGCTTTTTCTGTACCTACTGATATGATCATGTGATTTTTCTTCTTTAGCCTGTTGATGTGATGGATTAATTAGCTGCTAATGGTCTCTAGCCTTGGATACCCGAGATAAATTCCACCTGGTTGTGGTGTTAATTATTTTTGTACATTGTTGGATACAATTTGATAGTATTTTGTTGAGGATTTTGTATCTACATTCATGGCCTGTAAAGTTGTCTTTTAAAAATGTGGAATACGCTGGGTAATCTCAGAGCTATCAGTTACACTTAAGTGGTAATTAATCAGATTATTGTTCTTCTGAAACCTAAAACTTTTTTAACTGTAATGAGCCAGAGACATTATGATCAGAGGGAGGACATGGAACAATTAGAAAACAATCTAGGCTTTAGCCAGTTGCAGCATCTGAAAAGCATGAAAGCTGTAATTTATACTACTTTCCTTAGTTTTTAAGTTTTAAATCAGAGGAGGAAAAAAGAAATCAGCCTGAGAAGAATAGAGACATAATATCTAAATAAATTATTGTTCCCTTAAACTGGTTTTGTGAAATATAATAGCCTTGTCTGAATTTTAACTTAAATGTATGCAATCTAAGCCCCAGGTTCCGTAACTTGCATACAGTTGTGTAAGTCAAAGATAGTAAGGATCTGCAGTGGTCAAGCTGTTCTCTACCCAAGCCCAAGCCTGCTCTACCAACAACTCTTCATATCCCTATACTACTGTTATTTCCACTACATTAAGTACCAAAAAAGGAAAAAAGAAAAGTATCTTATTCATAAGCTTTTTCCGCCAGCAGTCTCCAAATTGCCTTTGTTTCTTCTTTTTGTTAAGCCATCTAAATAGCTGAAAACTCAACTCCTTCTGCTAGAATAAATCTGATCCGGCAGGCGGACAGGGAAAAGGACAGGGAAAGGCTGAGGGATGGCAACTGGCTGTCCTGTGCCTAAAAGGGGAGCGGAGCTTTAACCTGCAGGCAAAAGGTGTTTGGAAGAGGAATTATGAAGTCATAAGAAGTCCTGTCCATCTCCTTTAGGAACAGTTCTGCTGCTGGAACCTGTGATGTCATCTGCTGTTGGTTTTACATGGCTAACCAGATGCAGAAAGACACCCTCTGAGTGTTCCCCAAACTAACAGCAATTTTAGAGCAGAATATAAAGTGTGCCAGGTGGATTTTTACAAATAGTATTCTGCACTTAATGCTGACCAAAAAAAGAGGACTGATTCATAATATGGAAGTGTCAAGAGCTCTTCAGAGAAAGTGAATAGAAATAAGGGAAAAGCAAGCTGTGCTGTCTCAAATGTGCTAAACTTTAAGAAATAAAATTTTTAAAAAGTTTACAAAAAAGCGTAAGAGAAAAAAAAAATAGTATACTCTGATAGCTATACACAGGAGTGGAACAAGCACAGCCCACATGTACCCTTCTCCATCTTCCACTGCTCTCCGTCTAGTCAAATCTCTCCACGGCCAGCTCCACTCTCCTCCATAAAACCTTCATTCTTCAATCCTGATTCATACTGACCTCTCCCCAACTCTGTATTTGGCAATTAACTTCCTTGCCTCCCCAGTTCAACTTTCATTTATGAGACTGCAGGGCCTATGTCACACATGTCTTGGTGCCCCCAGAGTGCCTATAAATAGTACCTCCTAAACAGCAGATGATAAATAAACATGTGCTGATGGACTCAAGCCAACCAGTGTTTTTAGAAAAAAAAAAAAAAGACTAAAGCAGATATACAAAACAGAATTTGAGCATGCACTGTAAAATGTACTTAATACTCAATCCAATTCAAATCAATTTTATAACAAGCAGAATGAATAGGCACTGTCCCCTGAAATTGTAAAAACAGCACAGTACCTGCAGGAGACTTTCTATAGCATGAAAACCTCGAATTAAATTCAGAGCTCCACATAAAAGACTAAGGATAAATCCCACAATCCCTGACAGAGTTGCTGGTTCCAGTCGCTGGTGAGCTGAAAAATAAAAGAAATAGAAATGAACACCAATACCTCACATAGATGAACTCATGTACAACAGAAACTCACTGCTCAACTTAAATGGGTCAAACAGATACTTCACACAATTATTTAACAACATACATTCACAATTAAATACGCTTATAAATTAAAAATGCTTCTCAACATAAAAGTTTCATTTCCCTTAAATTAACTTATTTTTCTCTCATTTTATTTTTTTGGAGACAGTGTCATGATCACGGCTCACTACAAGCCTGAAACTCCAGGGCTCAAGTGATCCTCATGCCTCAGACTCCCAAGTATCTATGATTATAGGCATGTGCCACCATGCCTGGCTAATTTTTTCTTGAATTTTTTGGAGAGACAGGGTCTCACTATGTTGCCCAGGCTCATCTTGAATTCCTGGCCTCAAATGATCCTCTGGCCTTGGCTTCCCAAAGTGCTGGTATTACAGGCATGAGAATGCATCTGGCCTTTCCCTACATCAGGCATCCCCAAACTTTTTACACAGGGGGCCAGTTCACTGTCCCTCAGACCACTGGAGGGCCGCCGCATACTGTGCTCCTCTCACTGACCACCAGTGAAAGAGGTGCCCCTTCCTGAAGTGCGGTGGGGGACCGGATAAATGGCCTCAGGCGGCCTCAGGGGGCCGCATGCGGCCCGCGGGCCATAGTCTGGGGACGCCTGCTCTACATTTTTAACAAAGACACATAACTTGCATTTGGGATAGACAGTGCTAAGTAATGCTCACAACTGGCAGTAAATCATTTAGAAAAAACCTTACTGCTTAAACATGTCTACTATTTGCAAGTAGGTACAAGTATTTGTAAAGGTGACTTTGCTTGGGAATTCATTGCATAATCCTACTTTTTTTCAAACTGCTTAGGAAACATTTTTAAGGACAAACATAGCTTACTTTTAAGCAAAACCTTCCCTTATTTGGGTTCCAGGGCTATAAATACCACTGGGTATGTGTGAAAGCTCATATATAATCAGCAATCTGAACTCCGAAACAGAATGAAGTCTTATGGCTATGAAGTTCCTGATCCTCTGAATAACACTCTAAGGTAAAAGTGACAAAACACCAGCCGAAGAAGTGACCACTCTATTTTCATAAATATATTCCCTTATCTTCCAGGGCTTCTGCAGCTTGAGAGTTACACGATAGCTTCCCTTCATCATCATCATCTTACACTTAATAGAATTAACAACAGGGTCTACATGAAAACACAAAACTAAATATATAATCATCCAGACTTCAAACGGGAGACAGAGGGAAAGAGAAGACAAGAGAATCACATTAGAGTATTTTATTTAAATCACTGAAGTGTAAATGCCCTAACAATTAAGTTAATGAGGTGGAACATTAATATAAGGGCGGGCTTAAATCTCTGCAACTTATATTCAGCCATTACAGCAGAACACGTTCCCTAAACAGTTATTAAAAACACAAGAATCCACATATCACAAAAAAGTATTTACTCCCCAAGTTCAGCCGAAAGTGCTTATATAGAGGATAACATTTTTTAAACTACTTTGGTGCACAAGCTCTCAATTTCCTTGAGATTTTAATATGACAATAGAAAATTAAGTGTCTCTATTCAATACTGCTTCCAAGTTTTACATCAGTAAAGAAAAAAAAATCATGATTTAAAAAAATCTATCTAATTAGTCTATACATCAATTATGTTTTGCAGCCTCCCTCTTCACCCTTTTTCAGTAATGAGTAAAGGGAACTGGTCTTTATAAAAAAGGAAATTCTTAATATAGGTCTCAAGAATAAAACCACCTGGCAACTTAATAGGTTACATAAGTCATACTTCTAAAGTATACAAAACAAGTTTACCTTAAAAAAAGCCTCAAATAGCCAGGCGTGGTGGCTCAAGCCTGTAATCCCAGCACTTTGGGAGGCTGAGGCGGGTGGATCACAAGGTCGAGAGATCGAAACCAACCTGGTCAACATGGTGAAACCCCGTCTCTACTAAAAATACAAAAAATTAGCTGGACGTGGTGGCACGTGCCTATAATCTCAGCTACTCAGGAGGCTGAGGCAGGAGGATTGCCTGAACCCAGGAGGCAGAGGTTGCGGTGAGCCGAGATCGTGCCATTGCACTCCAGCCTGGATAACGAGAGCAAAACTCTGTCTCAAAAAAAAAAAAAAAAAAGCCTCAAATAATATTCTGCATTATAACTTAAAAACCTTAGCTTTTTCAGTCACGTAAGGTGTAGCCATTATTCAGTGGAAAATTATTACCATTTTAGTGTATTAATACCTACTTAAGAAATAAACAGTACATATATGTAAATTGTTATTAAATTTCTAACATTTGTCTCTTAGCCTTACAGCACTCCCTTTAAAACGACAGTATACCAGTTATAAATTATTTCAAAATGACCAAAAATATTTTTCAAAGCATAAAGCCTTAAAAAGCATAAGCCTTCTTTAACAAGAACGCAGTGCACCTTGTGCTGAAGGACAGGCTGGCATTATGCCAACTCACTGTGGGGAAGAAATTCTAGAGATCCCCCACTTCCACCTCCACCCACTTTCCAGGTTCTGTGGCTTGTACCTTGAGAAGTTATCAAGAGAATACTCCATCTGCACACAATATAAGAGGGTGACACTTCTTAAGAATAATTTCTCATTTTAACAAACTGAACTAGATAATTAACCACATTTTAATGCATTAGCTATTTATGTTATTTTTTTACTTCAGTAAAGCAGATTTTAGATCCACTATTATCCAAAAATGCTTACTGCACACTTCAATTCAGCACCATTCTAGGTACTATAATATTCGGTGTAAAGTATTTGTAACACAAATGAGAGGCAGTGTAGAAATACAGTAATTTTGCTAGATCGAAAGCAGTGTCACCTCATCATTTTTTTTTGTTTTGCTTTTGTTATTGCCTTCTGCTACAGTGTCATTTCTTCAGTCTTCTTGAACCCAAAGGTGGCATAATGATAACAACAGATTTCTGATAATGTACCAATAGTTTATGGAGACTGCAAAAGTTCCTAAAGAAGTGAGAATAAACCTCTTGGAACCAAAGGGCAATTGGTTATAGTAAATTAATATATTTATTCAATAAATACTTTCTGGCATAGTTCTGTGTAAGATGCTATGCTTTAGAAGATACAAAAAATGAATTACACAATCTGCCCTCAAGGCACTTCTAATCTTTTATAAGAGGTAGTACAGATAAGTATATAAAAGTAATAAGCATTCTAAGCTAAAAGAGGTAGGAGAATGATCAAGTGGAAAGATACGGGTAGGGGGAGGGTGGTGACGAGAATCAGGAAATACCTTTGAAGACAGATAAAATGTAGTCAGATACAAATGGGAAGAAATGCATTCCACACAGAGAAAAGTATGTGAATGTGACAGAGATGGACCTGGGAGAAACGAGTAACAGCAGCATCAACAATTACTACTTCTACCAGCAGGGACTGCTCTCAATACACCAGGCACCAACTGCTTTATATACTTGGTCTCACTTTATCCTTCCAACAACCCAATGCGGTAGGGTACTATAATTATCCTCCTCCCTACCCCCCAACCCCTGGAATAGGAAAGGTTTAGAGACATTAAATAATTTGCTCACAGACACAAAGTAAGCAGGTGAACATGGATTTAGGTGATTCCGGAATTCATGCTCTCAGCCATTCTGCTACAGTGCATTGCTAGTGGTTTGGTTTGGCTCAAATAGATGTTGGTGATGAGTGGGGAGAAATAAGGTCAGAAAGGGAGGTGGACACAAAATAATAGTATAAAATTCTAGGCTAAAAATTATGGAAAATTAGACAATGGGGAACCACTGAAGAACAAGATTCTCATATGATGGTTATACTTAAAGAATATTAATCTATTAGTGGGTTGTAAAGAGATCAAAAGTAAAGGAGTAAGAAATAATCTTTTTGCAAGTACCTTCTCAGTAAGCACACATTGTCCCATTACCCTTCAGTATGGCATACCTCATGAAGTAGAAATGACTAACTTCTCTGTGACTGAACTGGAATGCCTAACTTTTCTGTGCCTAAACGTTCTTATTTGCAAATTAAGGTTAAATAATTTTCTGTAAGTTAGACAGCCAGAAGGGCCATCTTCACAATTAGCACTTAGGTCTACCTGACTGCAGAGTGCGTGTTCTTTCTACAATTCTACAAGAAGAAGTTTGTGGGAGAGTCACTGCAAAAGACTGACTGAAATCAGGGCCTAAATTAGAATACTAACAGTAGAAATGGGAATCTGAGTGTTTGGGAGTTCATGAAAGAATAAAGCTAAAATGAAAAAAAAAAAAAAGAAATGGGGAAAAAAGTGAGATGTCATGGAAATTAAAACTATTAGATTTGGCAACTAATTAGATGTGGCAAACAAAAGGGGGGAAAAATCAAAGAAATGTTGAGGTTTTACCTCTAGGTGACAGGAAAGATGAGGGTGCTTAGCAACAGATCCACAGGAAGAAACTTAAGTTTGATCAAAAATGGAGACACCTTAAACATCAAATTTGAGATGATGGTGGGCCGTGTTTAACAATCAATTGAAGAATGGAAGAGCAGTAGAGCTGGAGAAGCAAATGAGGTCTGCAGCTGAAGGGAAAGGTTTAAATGAGGATGAAGGAAAGAAGCAGGCCAAGGGAAATCCTTGGAAAACACTGTCAGTAAGGGAAGAAGAATAGTCAGGGAAGACAGATGCAGGAGAATTATGAGAAACCTAGGAAGGAGAGATGAAAGAGAAGAAAGACATAGCTATCAGTGCCTACAGACAGGCCAAAAAAAAAAAAAATCAGACCTTAAAAGAAAAAGTATTAGACTTATCGACCAGGAGACGCTAGTTGATTCTCTTAAAACAAAAAAGTTTCAGAACAGTGGTTGAGGGCTCTTTAGATCTCACAAAAAAAGTGAGACCATGCAATGTTTGTCTTTCTGTGCCTGGCTTATTTCACTTCATGATCTCCAGTTCCACCCATGTTGTTGCAAATGACTGGATCTCATC